TCAATCAATAAACACATGTTGTCAACTGACAACGACAATAATTTGTAATCAGCTAGCTGCAAATGTAGAAAGCGGCAATTAAATGTGCAATGACGGATGATGTAAACAAATTTTAAAATTCAACATTCTTTAGCACAACTTACATTAGTTTGTTAAACATTTGTTACGTGTTGCAAAGTCCTCATGGGCTGTGATTAAAGAAGCGAGTGAGGTGCAGCCTGGTCAAAGAGTTAAGGTGTGCAGCGAGTTGCTGTTGTTTGGTAGGAACCTGAACCTCGTTTTCTTAGTGTCTTATAAAGCATTATAAATCAAAGGCCAACTATACTTATAATGATTAGTATAAACAACACTGGTAAGCTAAACAACTAACTGAACTCACTAATGCAATGGCATCCTGCAAAAGTCTTGTTGCTTGATTAATTGAGTCCTTCATTGCAGCATCTGAAGTTCATATGACAGCCTCGTATCTTTCTGCTACACCAAAATGACCCAATAAGAAAACAGAGTAAAAGGTTGTCTTTAAGACAAAGTAATTTCCCTAATCAATAAGATGCAATTTTAGTCTATGCTAAAACTAGACAGGATTGTAGTAAAAACAACCATTATTGCAAACCCATGAATCCTTACAAAGAAGCATATAGAAAAGGTTTAAGCTGTTACATTCAGTATTCGAGAATCTATTAGCAACATAAGCATTGCAGAGGAGTTGTAGTGGGCAGCTACCATAGCAACAGTACAGCAACAGCAGGCACCAACAGTACAGAAATTATGGGTGGTACTTTTGGCAAGAGAATAGTGCAGGGGTAGTTCTACCAATTTTGCAACACTCGTTCCAAATTCTCGAGACACTTTTAATTGATCCTAACATTAATCCTTTAAATAATAACTAATAAAAAATAAATAATAAATAAAAAAAATAAAAAAAATTTCAATAATGATTAAATTATATGTGCAATAATAGAATTGTAAGTAATGTTTCGAGCCTTTTTAACCCTTGAAGACGGGGCTTAGTTATGCTCAATTTATTCTCTCAAGCAGGACTTGGATAATTTGCCTCGTCACTATAGGTTAATTAATTAATAGGAGCTTTAATTTTCTCTAGAATACACTCTTTGTGGATAATTTTTCGTACCACACTTACAAATGAATTTGTTTAAGGTTTCTTAATTTCTTGCCTTTTTTCTTCATGAACCATTTAATTAATACAGGGGATAAAGTCGTGGGAGCTCAATGCTGAAGTGATTGTGTGGTTTGTGCAACACACTTGATAAACAAGATGTAATTAAAAAGTTTTGATTATGTAACTTCTTAGGAGAGCATCATTGAAGTAAATGTCAACAAAATTTACTTGTTAGTATAGAGTTTATTGTACCTGTGTCATAACGAGTCATCTTGCTCCTACCTCTAAAATGCTGATAGGCCAAAGAAAATGCAAGAGACAGGGAAAGGAAAAAAAAAGGAATGGCATGCTTAATATGATAGGGCGCAACTTGGTCCTTCATCCATAATCAAATTAAAATCAAAAAGATTCATCGTATTTCTTTGTATAAACTGTTTAATTTTCAATTCTGACATTTCTTCAAGTATATCTTCATTTATAGTGATGGATAACAGAAACAAAAGAATCAAATAATTCTTGAATGGTGATGAAATTTACCAGCCAAATATCATTGCAATTGTTCCTCAAACGACGAATTTCGAGAGGTAGAGCAACAAAGTCAACATGACAAAACTGACAATCAAAGTAATTTAGAAGCAGCTATTGCCATTGGTCAGAGTCAAACTGACAATGCAAATGCTCAACCTATTACCCTACGTAGGTCGCAATTCAACGACCAAGATCTCAACCAGACAGATACCTTGGTATTGTCTTAACCGAAGATCAAGACATCCTAGTTATGGGTGGAGATGAGTCAGCGACATACAAACATGCTATGATGAGGCCCGACTCTGCTAAATGGCAAGAGGCCATGAAATCCGAGATGGACTCCATGTCTGAAAATCAAGTCTGGGACTTAGTTAATTTGCCCGAAGGTTACATACCTATTGATTGCAAATGGATTTTCAAATTGAAAACAGACAAAGATGGAAATGTTTCTACATACAAAGCTAGACTGGTGGCAAAAGGTTATAGGCAAATTCATGGAGTTGATTATGAAGAAACCTTTTCGCCAGTTGCAATTCTCAAGTCCGTCTGGATCATCTTAGCGATTGCTGCATATTACGATTATGAAATATGGCAAATGGATGTCAAAACCGCCTTCCATAATGGGATTTTGGAAGAAAATGTGTATATGACATAGCCGGAAGGTTTTGTTGATCCAAGCAATGCCGGGAAGGTATGCAAGCTTAAGAAGTCCATTTATGGACTAAAGCAGACAAGTAGAATTTAGAATCTGTGATTCGATGAAGCCATTAGTAATTTTGGTTTTATCAAAAATCCAGATGAGTCTTGTGTCTACAAGAAGGTCAGTGGGAGTGACATCGCATTACTAGTCTTATATGTCGATGAAATATTACTCATTGGAAACAACACTAAACTGTTAGGGAAAGTGCATTTCAATGAAGGACTTGGGAGAGGCACAATACATAATAGGCATCAAGATCTATAGGGATAGATCAAAAAGGATGATTGGATTGAGCCAAAGTACTTATATAGATAAGGTACTAGAACGATTCAACATGGAAGGGGCCAAGAGAGGGAACCTACCCATGTCCCATGGCATAACTCTCAGCAAGAAACAGTGTCCACGGACACCTGATGAATAACAGAGAATGAGTCAGATTCCATATGCTTCGCTTATTGGATCGATCATGTATGCCATGATATGTACCAGGCCTGATGTATCGTATGCCTTGAGTGCTACGAGCCGATACCAATCAGACCCAGGAGAGGCGCATTGGACTGCATCCAAGAATATCCTAAAGTACATGAAAAGGAACAAGGATAAATTCATGGTCTATGGTGGCTGTAATGATTTGGTTGTTGAAGGTTATACTGACGCAAGCTCCCAGACTAACAGAGACGACTCCAATTCGCATTCGGGGTACATATTATGCCTTAATGGAGGAGCGTTTAGTTAGAAGAGTGATAAGCAGAGCACCACTGCAGATTCAACAACTAAAGCCGAATACTTGGAAGCTTCGGAAGCAACTAAGGAGGCAGTTTGGATTCGTAAGTACATTGGTGAACTTGGTGTTGTACCCTCAATTAAGGGTCCAATAGACCTCTATTGTGATAACAATGGAGCTATTGCTCAGGCTAGGGAGCCAAGGGAACATCAGAAGGTCAAACATGTCAAGCGGCGATTTCACATGATAATGGAATGGAAATCCGAGGGTGAAATAAGAATTTGTAAGATTGGAACGGACGAAAATGTAGCCGATCCTCTGACTAAACCTTTGTCACAAGTGAAGCACAACAAGCACGTTGAGACAATGGGAATCAAGCATATTGGAGATTGGCTTTGATTTCCTTGTATAGATGTTATAATTAAACTTGATGTCTTAATGTAAAACACTATGTTGAACCATTCAATTTTGGAGCAATTAAAATTTCTGCAAATTTATGATTACTCCATATCTATTTAATTGTGGTTTAGAATCAAATAATGAGTCCAATCGATTTCTAAGAATATTCAAAATAGGGTATTAAGACCATGTCTTGGATAAAGAAACATATGTTAAGTGAACACTGAATATTTTAATCGAAAATTATCCCTTATCGAGATCATTAAAACGATGGACGATTAATGACCACTTGAGATTAGTGTGTAGTATGATTTATAGCACCGTTTCTTGTGCTACAAGGACATGATAGTCATAAATCATTTGCACTGGTACTAGTTTGGAACTGTACCGGATAGACCTATGAGAACACTTTAAGAGATATCAAATCGTCATAAGTAGATTTCTCATTATAGCTATCGGAACCTTTTTCCTCGACCATGAGTATTGCAAGTTCTCTTTTTTGAGTACTAGTCGTTTTGATGTTGTCAAACGTCTTCCGTAAGTGGGGATTATAACGGTAACACTCGGGCGACTAGGTCCTCTTAGTAAGGAAAGCTTACAGTACAAGACTGGGAATGTCCCTTTATTAACAATAGGAAACATGTCTTTGTTGTTTACAAGGCCTCTCGAAGAGCAAGACTGTGAAAATGCATGGCCGTGCTAAGATGGAATTTAGAAATCATCTGTTTATTGACAGTCAAACTCGGGAATCGAGAAACACTTCTGGACGTAATAAGGATGACAAAGAATCTTACCTTATAGTTCATGAAGAGACATTAAGGGACATAGGAAAAGGGCTATACACAAATTGCACACTTCTCCGGAAGGACAAGTGGGAGATTGAAAGGAATGGTGTCCTTCCAACAAGTGTATTATTCCGGTAGAGGGTTCAGAATTATTAAAAAGCTAATTGTTCAGTAAGGTCAAGTGATTGGAATGCCTAGGTGGAGGCCGCTTCCGATCAGTAATATTAATGTACAATTAATATTACAGCTTAATCTTAACTGAACCCTTTAGGTCGAATCCAATCGAACAACCGATCCGAGACGACGAATCAATCCGAACGATGTGATGAGTTGTCAGAGTTTTACGAACAAAGACATCGGATATCACTATGCGAAAAAACGAATTCCCCACCGGTTCAAACCCCCCCTTTCCCACCGGTTTTGAACCAAATTGTATTTGGGGGGTGCTAAAACCCCATAGATTTCGCACCGGTTCAAAACCGGTGGGAAAAGGACTTTTCGCACCGGTTCTTATGGAAAACCGGTGCCAAAAACTAGACTTTTCGCACCGGTTTTGTCTTATAACCGGTGCCACAAGTCTCCAAAAATATTTTTTTAAAAACTTTTAGCACCGGTTCTGTACCAAAACCGGTGCCAAAAGGGCCCCAAAAAAATAAAATAAAATAAAAATTTGCAATTTTTTCACTTAAATTGTACCAAATAGTTATATATAATCATAATATACATAAAACACATATATTTTCATCAGTAGCTTGTAATATTACACTTTAAACAACTAAAAAAAAAAATGGACATATAAACACTAACATATATATTTTCTTCAAAAACAGCATACTGTCTGAGTTGTCCTGGTCTTGTGCTGGTGGCTGCTCTGCTGGCTGCTGTGTTGATTTGTTGTTGTTTGTTCAGGCTGATAGGCTGCTCTGCTGTTTGCTGTGCGGCTGTTTCTGTTCTACTGTGCCTCTGTCCTGTTCGGGCTGGCTTGGAATCTATTTGCTTCTGTGGCTGTGCCTCTGTCCTGTTCAAGCTAACTCTAGAGTTAACTGCAACATGATAATTCCAGTAGTGCACATCTAACTGTATCAATACAAATAAACATCAGGCATAAATCAAAAGAATCTAAAAATTATCTTTTTTTTATAAGTTGAGCCATTAGCTACCAAATCTTATAAATACCTGAAACTCATTTCTAACTCTTGTAGATACAGGCTGGTTTGTGACTTGTGAGTGCTCAATGTTAACTATTACAGGCAATGGCGGATCTTGAACATTTTTCTATTGGGGGGCAATTATTTTTTAACATAAATATATGTCTAAAACAAAAAACAATAAAATAAGTATTGGTATGTTAGGATTATAATATGAACAAAAACAAGAAACTAACTCTAAACAATTAAACCCATAAAGTAATTATTGAATGAATATGCCTTACTTTCATATGTTTAGCAGTGACTCAATTTAGTTATTATCAATGCATCACAATTCACAAATCACAAGTATTGTAAAAGTTAAATAACAAGTTGACAATCGATAGTCAGCAATCTATTACCTCAATATCATATTATCACCTACTATACAATCATCAATTTGTTTTTGATTGGTAAAATTAGTCAGAGTACTAATTTGACTACACAAAAAAATAGTTGAAAATTGAATTCATAAAATAATTACTCCTTAAAAAAATGAATTGAAACAATAATATACTCCGTAACTCGTAAATTACCTGATGAAGTGATGATTGTAGACGAAAATCATGAAAATATGAAATACATTGGAATTGGAAAAAGTATCATTGAAAACGGTTAGAGGGATGAGTCATGAGTGTAGTCAAGCTTTTCTAGTTTCACCTCTTTCTAGTAAATAAAAAGGCAGTCAGTTATTCCTAGTTGTATTTTATTGGGCCTTTCACATTTTTACCCAATATTATCTTATTGGAATACAAGTATAATTATATCAGCCCTTTACATGTTAATTTTTTTTTTTTATAAATCTATCAGGGGCCAAGCCCCGTTGAGTCTCTTATATAGTTCGTCCCTGATTACAGGCCTCTAGACTCAACAATCCTGAATAATACCATACATTGATGCTAGTAGTATATAACGATTCAGGCAAGATACAGAAATTAGAGCTGAAATGTGACCCTTAATAGGAACACCCATTAACACTAGAACTTAGCATACATGCCAGGCATGTTAACTATTACAGGCCACTAGACTTCACAATCCTGAATAATCCCATACATTGATGCTATTAGTATATAACAATTCTAACAAGATACAGAAATTAGAGCTAACATGTTACCCTTAATAGGAGCAGCTAATCAACACTAGAGCTGAGCATACATGCCAGATATAATAGTGGTCACAGGATCCTACTACTTGTAATGCCAACGATTTCAAGCAAGAAAAGAGATCCTGGAACCTTAAGCTGGCTATAGAAAAAAAAAATACTTAAGTTGTGCATATTTGCTAATTTAGTCATAAATAAATTCTACATAAGAAATAACCCCTTTACTGGACATCCTAGAATATTAAGTGACTATGAATGAGTAATTAACATACCTTTATATTGAATCCTGCTTTTGCACTGGTCTCCAGGAAAATTACCCCTGCATCACGAGCCTTATTATCTCCTTCTTCTATAAAGACTTGCCTGTTCAAATCTTCAATGTCAAAACATTCTAGCATAAACACTTTAAAATGCTATAAGAGCTTCAACAGAAATTGTACATTACTAGTACATGGTTTCACCCTTGTACTTGTGCATTAAGGAAGAGTAGAAATATAAGAGCTTCAATCAAAACAAATTACATTGTAGGTAAACTTTCATGTGTCCTTAAGGCATTAACATGTAAAAATGATCAAGGTTGAAGTCATTAGCATACAAAGCACTTACTAGAAACATCATAGACGATAACATCAACTAAAGAATCTCTGATGTAACTGGGAATAAGACTCCGAAATCTTTCCTGTCCAGTAGTATCCCTGGAATTAGCAGTTAAAGGTTCAGAACATGGGACAGAATCATATAAATCAAGTCTACAAGACAACAAGTTATATTGGTAAATCATTAAAACGTCATGAGATGGAAAATCTAGAGATAAATTTTTCTGCTATTATACGCAATGAGTTCAGGGCGCTTAAGAAATTTGTTTCTTACTGCTTTAACATGAATATACATTAACTGACGAGACATTTGACGGTATCATACCAGAGTTGCAAGCGCACTGTTCGGTCTTCAAGATACATGGTTTTCGTCAAGAAGCCAATCCCAATAGTGGCCTGCCATTAAGTTGACATTATTAAAATATATCAAAATAATACATGTCCTAGATTTCAATATACATCAAATACACAATAAACAATACCAAAGAATAAGAGTTGCACATACGGCTATACCAACATGATTTCATGATGATGTAACCTGAAGTTTTGATGGCCAAAATTATTTTGGAGTATTACTTTATACTTGTAGGATATTAGGATCTTACTAATTTCCAATTCTAAACTTGTCCATTAGATATTGAGAAATCTCCACTATATATTAAATAGGCCAACTCTAGGATGAGAAAAATATACTATATAAGTAAAGTTTACAAATTTGAAATGGAAATGCAAATTTTATTACAGGAAGTTGAACTCATCTCCTATGACAATGTGGCTCAGTGGTTGATATCATTCATAAAAAATCATGCCAATCTATAATTATATTGTTGGCCATGAAGTGCAAACTATCGTTTAGTACAAGTCATGCCTCCCATGGAAGATTTTTTTTAAAAAAAGAACTCGGTATCATGCATCTTGGTTTTATCAAAGACGTCCTTATTTGACTTTAAAACTTAAAGTTTCTGGATGGTGCAATATACCAAATTATCAATTACTAGTGTATATAATTACGGGAAGAAAAAAAAAATAATTTTGATGACTGATATCTAAATCATAGCCAAAATTAGATGATTCGTACCAAATTTATCCTACCTGAAACCAAGGTTGGGATTGATTCTATCTGAAACTACAGTCACCAGACCCAAAACATAACAAAATGACCCCATTGTCACCTTTAAAAGCCCCTACTTGGAGTCATGCCTCTGATTCTATGATCAGTCAACAAATTACAGAACCATGCACTTGATTGCGGAATGACAAATCTTTGACAAACTATAATTCCTAGTACATATTTGAACAAAATTGCAATTGTATCCTAAATTAATGAAAATTCTCTAGAAAAATTTGTAATCCTAGCATGAAACAGGGTAAGTTAGGCACAAATACACAATTCAATAAAATAAAAAAAATAAAAAATAAAAAACAGTAAAATTAGGCATAAAATCATATCATTTGAAAACAATTAGACTAACTAACATCAATTCCAACAAATTCAGCAACCATAAAGGACTTCCTTAGCTTAACAGCAGTAGATCACAAATTTCCAGCAAAATTGAATATCAAAACTTTTACTAGTGATAGGTAGACAAGATTTAAAAGAAATTGATGCTTCTAGGATAGCAATTCATACCCTGTAAGTTGTAAGGTCAGACAGTCATGTTTCAATCTTCAGTATTTTAAACTGTGGACAGTAGTTGTTTCTCTTCACATAATTTTTCTAAAAGAACAAAAGAGTATTAGATAATTTGCTCAGATCCTCTTTCTCATAGTCATACTAATGAGAAAGACTAGAAACGTTTCTAATCAAATAGAGCATGATGAAATAGACAGGAAGGATGATAGAGCATGCAAGTTTACAGCAGTTCAACAAAGATCATGCACACACACACACAATACAAGGGGGGAGGGAGGTGAAAAGAGAAATATCTGATCAAATATATCAGAAACCTGATCAAAACGCAATATCAGAAACCTGAAAAACAACACCATTTTTACCTAATTAAGAACTATCACAAAGTCATATAGTAACAATTCTATGCTCAATCGTGACACACAAAGCTAACAGAAAATTAGCTAAAATTTCTCGAATTATCCCAAATTTTCCTTACAATTAAAAACCCTTAATCTCGAATCGCAGAAAAAATAACTTAATTAGTAGAAATCAAACCGAATTGAAGAAAAAATCATACTTAAATAAGCAGGCAGCAATTAAGGATTAATAAATTCAACCAATTAAGGAGAGATCGAAATTCGAATATGAGAATGAGGTAGAGCTAAATTTGTAGTGTTGTATCGAAAAATCCAGAAAAAAGAATCAGTATGACGAAAACAATAGAGATTTACCAATTGGATGAGAGTAAAAATAATCACCACCAGCACCCACCTTGTAACCACCCTCTCACCGCCATGAATATCTGAAACCCCACCACAACCACCCAAAAGCCACCCAACCAACTCGCACCACCACCAATTAAAGCCCCACGTCACCAGCGACCACCAACAAACCCACCCAACCAACTCGCACGTCCACCAGCGACCAGCCGACCACCTTACCACCTCCAACAAACCGAAACCCCAACTAACTCGCACGACTACCACCGACCAGACGACCACCAAGGAACCCACCCAACCAACTCGCACGACCACCAGCGAACCGAAACAACCACCTTGTTACCACCTCCAACAAATCGAAACCCCAACAAACCACCGCTAATTTAGATCTGAAACCCCAACTTACCACCACCAAGGAAACGAATCGAAATCCCACCATAAAAATCTGGGGATTTGTTAAACATCGCCCACAAATTACTACATAAAGCCCACAAAATTCACTTGGTTTCCCAAAATTGCCCTTGACCTTAAAAAAAAACACTCACACTCTCATCACTCACACTCTCATTGCGCATTGCTCATCTTCTTTCAACCTCTCTAAAAAAAAAAATTTCAAAATAACGGCAATGTCGAGGCGGCAAGGCAAGGAAGTGGCGGCGGCGGCGGAGGGAAGGATGTCCCAAGGAGGAAAGGTATATTTTGTTTAAAAAAAAAAAAAAAAAGGGGAAAACCGCCGTGAACGCGGTGGGGCGCCCTGGCTGGACGCCCAGCCGGCGGTGGTGGCGCCAGATGCAGACGCCGCCACCAGTTGGCTGGCGCCTGGGCTGGACGCCACCGCCACGGTTGTGCACGTAGGACGCCCGACGCACAGCTGAGTGCTTATGTTTTTCTACTCCTCGGATGTACCTTGTTTCCGGATAAGAGCGGCGGAAACAAGCTCAGGCCACGCGACATCGTAGAGGCGTGGGATCGGCTACGTTGGCGTATTTGTATCGCCAACTAGGATTTGCGAGTCGGGCTGACGCGACAAGTATCACTGGGTGTCTGACTCTATTGCAGACTTGGATATACGAGTACTTTCCTGCATTGCGACCACATCGTGACCCAGTTCCTATTGATGAGGGGATGCCGCGTGCTTGTGCGTGGAGTCCGCGCTCGGAGAAGAAGTCCGTTGACCGCCTCCGATCGATACGGTTATTGCTGGACAGGCTGTCCCCCTTAGAGGTAACGTTTATTTATAGAGTCTACATTTTATTATTTGCACATATTATATTCATGTTATTATATTTTATATGTTGTAATTGTACAGGTGAATTGGATGCCTTTCGGCCCGAACCCTAGTGTTAGGGTACCCAGGACCCTGTACACGGGACTCATTCAGTATCGTGACATCGTCGAGGCGTACATGCCCCAGCGTTGTCTTCGCCAGCTTGGATTTGTCCAAGTTGTCCCTCCTCCCCCGGCGTGCCCGATGAAGGCGGTCCGACCTGCATCGTCGAGGGAGTACGTCGTGGAATGGCCGGATATCATGACCGGGACGTGGGACCAGTTTCCGATGGTGGCTCGATTATGGACAGCGGAGTTGCAGCGGCCGCCCTCTGGGGTTACTCCCATGTGTGACCATTATTACATGGAATGGTTCAACCGGTATTCGCACCCGAGGTTGATCGCTGATCTCGACCACAGCGATGATGATTATGTGCCACCGCCTACTGCCACGGAAGCGGTATGTCTTTTATTATATTTATCGTTGTCTTTTAATTAAGTTTTATTTGTTGTTATTGTATTTCATCTTCTGTTTTTTGTTGTATGCAGTGGATGGGAAAGATAATGCAAGACGTTCAGAAACTCTCTTTTGAGAAGGACAGCATGAGTGCAACAGGGAGAGCTGTTGTTGATAGTCTGGAACAGACCCTTGCGCAGTGGGAGTCGTCGTCGAGGAGGGATTACTGATGGTTATTGTATTTTATTTATAGAGCATTATGTTGGACATTATGTTGTAAAATTGTAACATTTTAGATTGTTCTTTTAGCTTCCAACTTAAACATATTATCAGTGCTGTTTTTAAATTTTGATATAACCGTTCGTGGATCCGCGCAACTTACCCATGCAACATATAGAATGCAGTAAGCAATACAATATAAAATATTAATGTTCTCATTAAAAGAGCAACGTACAAATAAGATTACAAATAAAGAATGTAAACAAGAAAAACTAAAATGCAGCTAGGGTGTTCCATTCGTGGATCCGGTCATTATATAGCGAACAGTGTATCCAAAGCAGCGGTCCATGAATCAATCCAGTCCTTGGTAGCTCTATGAGCGCTCTCAACTCTACGTGTTGTAGTGTTCCCAAAATGAAGTACCTGGTTTGTCCAATATTTGACAAACTTTTCCCTATGAGGGACCCATTGATGCATCACATAGTCCACCAGTGCCGGACACCACTGGTACGAATCCCTGAAGTTAGCCAATGCTCGCTCATACGCTTCCTCTGTGGTAGCCTGTAGGATCTTCCGCCACTTACCATTCACCAATCTCTCTGCCATTTCCAAATTCTTCTTGAAAAGGTTGTAGGCTTTCACTTTCACGCAGTTGTTGATGTGCCATGTGCACAATAAGTGGTTCGATTCGGGAAACAGCTCTGCTATGGGGGCAAAGAGACCTCCCTCACAGTCGCTGACGATGGCTGCTGGATGAACATTAGGCCCGATGTAGTTTCTCAGCTTCTCCAAAACCCAATAATAACTTGGAGCCGTCTCATCCCTGATGATTGCATGACCAATCAGAAAGTTCTGGTTCGTTGGAGCCATCCCAACCATCTCAACCAGAGGGAACTTGTACTTGTTTGTCTTGTACGTTGAAGTCGATCAAAATCACAAATGGCCAAGACTTGATCATATCAGCACAATCAGGATGCACAAGGAAAAGATGAGTCACCTCCGCTGTATCTTCATCAGAATCAAACCAGAACAGGTAACCACGTGATTGTGCCTGGTGTAGCAGCTGCTGTATAGGGTTCCTTCCCTCTGACCGTTCAAACCTGAGTTGCTGTCTGACGTTGTAGATGTGTCTTCGGTTTGGATGGTCTTCTGGAAATTTCTCTAACACAGATGCTAATATTTTAGCAGGCTTCACTTGAGCATCACTCATTTCTTTCACAACTAGTTTCGCAGCAGGACTTAAGCCGCTCAGTTGTCGATAACCCTCTTCATATACTATCATCTCATGGTTGTGATACCCCCATTTAGAGTAACCTATCACTTCCCAACCGTCACGACTCCGTAGTTGTCGAACCTTTACTCTGAACTCACACCCACAACCTTTCCGCTTTGTGTCAAACCGAGTGGCTGTACGAAAATCTCTTTCTTCTCTTTTGCGATAACGGTCACATCTCAAAATGCGATCCATTCTACCATCCCGTTGAGATTTATGAGTTGCTACTACCAAGCAAAATCCAGCTGCAATTGCAACCTGTTTTGCCCAATCAATCACCTGTTGAGCTTCTTCGAATGGACCATCATGTCCAAATATCTCACTGTAATCATTTCCGTCTCCACCATATTCCTGCATCAATTATATATTACAATAAATAAATTTAACGGATAATACATTTAATTTCTATATTTCCACATAATTAACACAAAAAAAAACATAATTATATATAATCAAACTTAATTTTTATAAAAACCCAATTCGAATTTTCAAACTAAATTTAAAAATATACCATTTCGAATTTTCAAATTTAATTTTAAAAAAACCTATTTCGAATTTTCAAATTTAATTTACAAAAAACCCATTTCGAATTTTTTTAAAAAATCATTTTCGATTTTTTATTTTCACAAAAAAATTAAATAAAAAACAACAACAAAATCAAAAAGGAAAAAATAAAAATTAATTATTAAAGGTGGCGTCTGCCAGGGCTGCCACACCCACTGGACTGGCGCCTGGCAGGGCCGCCTCACCCAGTGGAGTGGCGTCTGCCTAGGACGCCAGTCTGGTGGTCTGGGCGTCTGGGCTGGACGCCACTCTGGTGGTCTGGGCGTCTAGCCTGGACGCCACTCTGGTGGTTCTGGCGTCCGGCTTGGACGTCCAGGCTACGGTTTGGGCGTCCACCCTAGGCGCCGGAGCCACTACGACGGTAAACCGTGAATTTTAGCGGTCACTTACCTCGTTTTCCGTCGACGACGACGTACCTCCGGCGTCCCCCGCATCTCCGGCCTGCCATCCGGTCTCCCCCGGCGAGCTAGTACGGCTCCACATTTTTTACACCGAGATTATCTCAATTTTAGCAAAAGGGCATAATGGTCAAATCATAACATATTTGTAGGCTTTATATGGTAAATTGCGGGCGATGTTTAGCGTTTCACAAAATCTGAGGACGGGGAGAGGAGAGAAAAGGAGATTATAGAGGGGATTAAGATGAAAGAGAAAAGCGGAGTAGGGTTTGAGATTATACAGGGGTTTGAGATGAAAGAGGGAGTGAGGGACTACGGAAGAGGAAAAGTAAGATATTGGAGACCGGTTTTTTTTTTATTTAACAATTGCTTTCGCCCTGGTTCGAATCGGTGCGAAAAGTTTCTTTTCCCACCGTTTTGATTAAAATCGATGCGAAAAGTCTTTTTCCTAATTCCGCCCCTTTTTTTACCATTAGTTTTCAAGAACTGGTGCGAAAAGTGTGGTGCTTTATTCATTTTTTCTACTAGTGTATCGAGCTTAGAGCGTCGAGACCGAGCGTCGCAAGTCGAGTCGAATTTGGAATTCGACGAGACGTGAAATCAATCAAGTTACAAGTTCAAGTTAGGCCGAACCCTCGCATTGGCCTAGCCATGCGAGGGCTAGGCTATCTCGAGCTAGCATGTGCATCGCAATGCTAGCTGCAAGCCTAGCATGCTAGGCGTGCTAGGGGCCATGCATGCTAGCTAACCATCGCAAGCATCGCAGCCTTGTGTGCGTGCTAGCATGCCAAGCGCCCAGCCATCGCTGGCCAAGCATGCATCGCAAGGCTAGGCCTTGTTAGCATGATACGCACTGACGCATTGCTAGCCAAGCAAACATCGCAAGGCTAGGCCTTACTGGCATGCTAGGCACTGGCGCATTGCTAGTAGCAGCGTCGCATAGCACCACGCACTAGCTAGCAGCGTGCTAGGGATGCTGGGCTGTGCGTGTGTGCTAGCATGCAGCAACACGTTATGCCTCGCCTAGCAGTTGCGCCCAGCGTGCATGGCTCGCTAGCAGCACGCATGCACTAGCTGGTTGCGCATGCAGGCGGCTGGCTGTGCGTGTGTGCTGGCTGGCTGGCCAGGCTGCCCAACCTTGGTGCTAGGCTCTAGCTGGCAGCCTTGGCAGCCAAGGGAGGCTGCCAGCCAGCCACATGCCTTGGTGGTCCGGTTTTACTAAGTGGGGACCAATGCTTGGTCATTGTCTTGGGGAGCAAAGTGGGTTGGTCCTCTCCCTTGGTGGTCCTGATATACACGTTTTATAAATAGGTTTATCCCGACTTTTCATTACATTCTTGTAT